GGGCGTTTGAACGTCGCTTCGCCCGGCCGGGCTTGTGCTCGATGTGACGCGGTCTCAACCCCGCTGCTCCCGTACACGTGATAACCCCCCCCCCCCTTACCTTCTCCAAATCTACAACAAAGTACACGCTTTTAGTTGTCGTTATGAATATTAGTTTAGCTTTGTTTGTTTTGTGCGTTTCTCGGTATACTGCTGTCCCCAAATATTGTTGTGTTGCTGTGCCGTTTTCCGGCACAACTTCAGACTCTTTTACAGAATGTGTTTGTAAAACTGTATAGAATAAAAATATGTGTGAAGAATAAAATGTGTCTGTCACTATTATGCTCGAATTATATTCTCTGAAAAAAAAGGACAAACAAAACGTTTTCAAAACTATAGTTACTTTTTTAAAGTCATTTTCTGGTGCAAACATGTCGCACAGAACAACTTCTGTGTGTAAAAAAAAGGAATCAACGAATGGTCATCAAATTCACATTTCACTGTAATTTGTTGAGCGTTAATAATGGAATACACAAGTCAGGTTAATTGCAGGGAACACTCACACTTATACTAACTTAACCCATGTACTTAATGCTATTTATTATTTATTTATTTATTTATTTATCTAATATTTATTTATTGGTATGCCCAAACAGTTTAAAATTGGTTGCCATTGGGGCCCTGCATACATCACAAATGGCTACATAGGCCCCTACACGTATATTTACAAATGCAATACAATAAAATGAAAGCACATTGAATTAATACATAACTATAAAATAACTATTATAACTATTGTAAAACTATTAAGCAACATCGCTAAACAGGCTTTGCTAAGGCCAAAAAAAAAAGTCTCCAGTTTCTGGTATGCGCGCGCGTCGCCGTAGCCATGCGCGTCGGCAAAATGAAAAAGTTTTTTTTTTTCAATGAAAGATGATGTCTCAAAACCGCCAAACTCACTGGTTTGACTGAAATCCTGCTGCTGCACAATTTTAACGTGTTTTTAGATTGGGTTATAGTCGAGAATAAGCTTTATGTGGCCTCTCTTGACTCCCATATATTTGCACAAAGTTTAGTCGGGCACCATTTGCAGTCATCAGCCGACATTTGAAGCCAAAAAAACAGGTAAAAAAAAAAAAGCGACACTTTTTGGGCAAGCTCCATACCAGAAACCGGAGACTTTTTTTTGTTGGCCTAAGGTATAAAGTGAACACAAAGAATGTAAAAAATGCTCAATTAGGGATTCGCTGATTACGGGAGGGGCGAAAACCCCGCGAAAACTCTTTTGTAAGAAAACACGGGGGAAATTCCCATCCGGCTCCTCATTTCTATGGCAACCAAGTTTGTCACCTCCGTAGATCAGTAAAGATTTAGATCTCATAAATGGAGACAATGGAAAAGCTCATTGCTTAGATATTTGCAGGAATATTACTGACTGAACGTTTTACTTATAGTTCAGATGATGAAGTTAGAACTTAGAATACTTAGATGAGTCATTGTTCTCAACTGTCATGCAAATTATTCCATATAATTGTACCAGTTACAGCAAAGCGTGTGACAACATTCTTTTTTTCGCAAAAGGAATCTTCAGTGCCATATGTCAGTGAATTGTCTCGTTGTTGATGATTTCATCTGTAGAAACTAGAATGAAGTTCGGTATAAAGTAAAGTACATTATCAACAATGATCGCACGCCTATTCAGTCAAAAGTTAAAGCCGGAACCACAGTTCAAAGTCTGCGCGCGTGGGGACGGTCACGTGACCCGTCACGGCAGCTGGTCCTCGAGTATTCATGAATAATGATTAAGAGGGAACGTCAACATCCAATGACAAGCGGGATGTCGCGCGTGTGGAATGTTGACGCAGTGTGTACCCATCCATGTGTATTGAGGTCAGACAATAAAAACTGCTCCCGCGCAGTTTTGTTGTTTCGTGAACTGAACTACTTCAAATTGAAGCATAGAAAATGATGAAATCTCCAAGAAATTTATTGCTTTTTGCAGACGGGCAATAAAACGTGCCTCGGGATTTTTTTTTTTTTGAAAAATATTCCCTTTAGTCAGCCTCTCATATGAATTCTCACGCACACCATTTCTTGAAACTGCTGTAAATTATTAAGACGATACATTTAATATAGTAATTATTAACCATCCAAATTTGCATGGATTTTTAAAAACCTACTGGATTTTGGTATCTAAAATTTCACGGCAACCCGTCGTTTGAATTGGGCGGGTGACACGGCTATTTGGGGTGCATACCTATGTTCCCCAATACCTATGCTCCCAAATACCGATGTTCCCTGAAATCCTTACCCTAACCTTAACCCTAACCCCAGCCACAACCCCAATCCTAATGATTTCGGGGAACATCGGTATTGGGGAACATAGGTTTCGGGGAACATCGGATAGACCTCCGCCAATTTTGTGTGGAAAGAGAATTGTATGAAATGTCTAGAATTACATAAATAAAATTGAACCAAATTTTAAAAACAAATTCAAGTATTGGAAACACATATTTAGTTTCAGTTTCATTGCGGCGTTTCCGTATTAGACATTACCTGTCAAAGAAATAAAAAAATAATTTCAAAAATTTCAAATGGAATTCTATTCAAACAAAAGTACCCTGCTATTTAAAATTTTAAGTCTTTGTTTTTATAAATGTTTAATTTATTTGCACCCATCCCTCCCCCCTCTCCTCCCCCTCCCCTCCCCCCCCCCCCCCCATCCCCATCCCCACCATCACAGAACAACATTCCATGAGTATTGGGATAACCATTTGGAGGTAGGAAAAGAACTTGTCTAGCTCAAAACCTCAAATATTATTGGTTGGTGTTTCGGACCCAGACATGCATCATTTACACACGAAAGCCTCCTCTGATGTTCTGATGATGCTTACGCTCGAACAAGCGGAATCGCAACAAGCGAGGACGAAAAAAAAACATCCTTCGTAAACACCAACCCAAGGCGAAAAAACAACTTGTTTTTATCCTTTTAATCCTGGAGAAACCCACAACACAACAAAAGTATCCAGTGCCTTCGCGCACGCACGCACGCACACACACGCAAGGTCCCCGGACCCATTCTAATAAATTGGGTTTGAAATTAAAGGGAAAAAAAAACTCACTTCCCCCATCCTTTTTATGAGTTGTGGCTTTTCAACGAAACTCTGCAATGAGATCACCGGACCAAAATATCATCACCATCACATCCCAAACCACCAGGCACGACAATGAGTGTAACATCGCGAACAGTTTTTTTTTCTCTCTTCACTCCTTGTGTGTTTGATTGTCCGTGCGGCTTGGGGTCCATTCAACAGGGCCCGTGGGAAAGTTACCCCGGACAATAGGCCGCTTGATCGCGTCAACGCGTTCAGCTCCTAATACCCCCGGGCGAGGCCTAAGCTGACAGCGTCTCTTTGCCCGTTCCCACGGCCCGTTCCACCGCTGGACTCCGTGCAACCTGCTTGCTGGCATGCCAGCTTTTATTTTCCCCCTCTCGCTCCGCTTGGAATGTGGTTTCGATCGAAAATGATTTTTCGTTCTTTCGTTTTTATTATCTGAGCTCAACAAGCTGATTAATTTTTTTCATTAGTGAAATACATCGTGCGTTGTTCGTTTCTTTTTGTTTTAATTGGTATTTTCTTTTTCTGCATGAAACAGCTTTGGGTTAACAGTTATCTAGTAAAAAATGTAATTATTATGCAGAATTGCAAGGTTAAGATCGAATGAAAATTATAGCATTTAATTTATATGAAGAAAATAATGTGAATGAATGTCGTATTAAATTGCTGGACCGAAATTTGTCACAAAAACAGAGAGAAGACTTTGAAAAAAAGAACAAGTCCAAAAGAACTAAGTTCTATTTTGTATAAAGTTGGAAAAATTGTTTTCAAGAAAGTCATCAAACAAAATTCTATTAGAGATTGCTAACTGTCACTTTTAGGAAAGGTCGTGCTTATTTTTATCAGAAATCATCATCTCAGACAATTTGTTTTGAAACATATAATTAGAAATAAAAAGACATCAGTAATACCTAAAAAATAATGAAATCAAAACAACAAATATCTTGGTAGATTAAGACTCTGCCGTGAGAATACCTGTACGCGGTTTTTTTTTAAATCCACATTTTCCTTGAAGAAGTATTTTGTGGACAATCCTTTGAATTAAAAAAACGAAGAAATTCAGGATAAGTGCACGAACATATTGGCACCTGCCGACACGCGAACACCCCATGCCCTTATCAAATTTGTACTGTCCCGCGCGAAATATAATTTACATTCAGCCAAAAACTATCGTGTACCCCAACAATGCCAACGATTTCCAGAACAATGTCGGGCTTGAAAATTCGCGCGTGCCGAGCATGCGTCATTTTAAAAAGATTTGGGGATGTTTCTTGAGGTTGGGGGGGGGGCTGGTCTGTGTGTTGTGAATCGCCATTGCGGGTTAAAAGCCCCGGGGACTGGTACCGTCTCACTCAGCCCAGCTGTTTACTGACTTGCACAGAGTATTGCCAGACGATTGGGGGGGATCGCAAAAGCCAATTGTTTACCCTCACATAGAGAAGCTGAGGGGGTGGAGTTTTCCCACCGCTCTCTGGCCAACACCGGTCGCTGAGAACAACAGGCCACGCACGTGTAGAGTGCTGATTAAGAGCCCTAACGACCACAGTCAATAGACGCTAACAATAGCCGGCCGACGCTCCCACGGTCGTGTTGCATGTGCATCGTCAACGCAGACGACCGACTGTCACTGCTTATGCTAATTTTTAACAATATTCATGGCGGCCCCGGCCAATGGGAGCGCGCGTTTGCGATGAGGTCATCCCCGCCGGCCAATGGCGCGGCGGCACTGTTGCTCGCGTGGCGGGCTGCGTTGGGTATCCCGCGCGGCACAATGAGACGCGTGCCGGGATTGGCCCGTTGTGAGGGAATTTCACACTTGAGCGGACGGCCGAGGGCACTCCCCTGCGGTCGGCACGTGTGGGGGATAAATACGGCTCTCGTGCCAAATTTGTAGTCATTCTTAATTTCAACCTCTTGCGACATACACTCGACACTCGATTCGTCTTCTACTTGGAACACTCTCTGTCCTTCGACAATCTTCAGCATGATTGCCAACATGATGCACAACACTGCACCCGAAATGGAGCGACCTAAGGTAAGCTTGCACCCTCAATTTTCAAAATATTCCCGAGTTTTCGAGGCGAATTAATCTCCCAATAGTTTGTCATTCGTATCCATACCGTAAACATTCTTGCTCATGCTGATAGTTCAAAACTTGCTCCGTCAAGAATCACGGTCAACGACTGTACATCTGTCTTCAACAAGCAACTCGTAAATCTCTATGAAACTTTTAAAAATGTCCTCGTTACAATTAACTAGCACATTTTTAAGATGTAATATGTAGCTGGTCACATGCAGTTTTCTTTAATTTTGTTAATTAATCGTGACTTCATTTTTATTTTTTGACAGACTTCCAAACACATGATGGAACGCAAGCGGCGAGCACGTATCAACGACAGCCTGCTACAGCTCAAAAGCCTCATCTTCCCAGCTCTCCGCAAGGAGGTATGTATTTTTGTTCACCATTCTCTCCCATCCCCCCCCCCAAAAAATACACCCTGTAAGCTGTAATTCAATGTTTCGTATGTACTGCAACAACCCACATCATGAAACTGATCCGAAATTAATTGCAGTGTTTCAAAATTCAAGCACAAAAACAGTTTGACCAAATTTGTTCACATTTTGACACTAGCTGAGTTGTCATAATATTGAAGAGTTCTGTTGCAGTGACTTGCACAGCAGGCAAAATGTGTCATATCATTTGAACCCTCTCCCATTCAGCTTATTTGGAATGCATTGTTGTCATTGTGGGCTAGCTATCCCTTCCCTTGTCGATTCCTGAGCTTTCCCACGGTTCTCCTGAATGGGTCCCCCGCCGGGTTAATAGGCTTAGCATTGTGGCTGGGACCGTGTACTCTGGTTTCGAAAGAAAAACCCACAGACCGTGTTGTATACCCCCGACCACAATGGGACACGACCGGTCGTGCGAAGCGCTGAGCGCGCCACAAGATATCGCCTTGTTTGTTTGTCATCACCCACGCTCGGTGAAAAGAAGGGAAGAGTAATAGACTTAGAATGAAAAAAAAGAGGCCGCGGTTTATTGTGCGGCTTAAAGAATGTGGAAGTGCTAACGACTTCTGGTGGGTGACAAAAGGATCCCTTTCAGATGATCGTGGGAAAGTTTTAGGATCTATTGTGCGATCTGTGCTTGTGGTCTGTCATTTGTTGGTACCCTTGATTCCAAATTATGACTAAAAGATTAACCCGTGAAGGTTTTGGCGCGCTCTGGTTCATCCTTGATTTCTTTTATGACGTTCTTGGTTTTGAATGAAGTGGCTAAATATCCTTGTTATTTTATTTTTGTCTGGACAGATGTCACGCCAGCCGAAGATGGAGAAGGCTGACATCCTGGAGATGACCGTCCGTTACCTGAAGGAGGTTCAGTCATCGGCTCAGAGCGGTCGCACCTCCCCCGCCGCCCAGGTCACACAGTACCACGCTGGCTACAGCGAGTGCCTCGGCGAGACCTCCAGCTTCCTCGCCAACTGCGACTCGGTGGATCTGGACACCCGCCTTCGCATCATGAACCACCTAGCCGACCGGTGCAGTAGTCTGGAGCCTGTAGCAGCTCCACAGCAGCAGCAGGTGAATTACAGCTACACAGCCAAGCCAGCTTCCACTGTGACGTCACCGGCCGTCAGTCCCGTTCCCATGGTAGCCAATAACCGGGTGCCGCCCATGACATCATACACCATCCTGCAGCAGCAACAGCAGCAGCCATCACAGCAGCAGCTGATGCTGTGCATCCCCCATGACTTTGCCAGCCAGACCACCAGCCCCTCCCTCCTCAGCACCCACTCCAGCGCCAGCAGCCAATCCTCCATCATCTTCCCCACCCCTCCGCCGTCTCCGGTGGAGGTAGCTCCAGCAACCAAGCCCGCAGCACCCCAGCCCTTCACCCATGTCACCTCGGAGTACAGACCCAAGATCAAGTCCGCCGTCGCTGCCTCCTACCGGCGACACCACGCCGCGATCAGCCGCACGGTCCCCCAGGAGAATGTCTGGAGACCCTGGTGAACTTGATGGCACATTTTCTCGCCTCGTAACAATTTAGTGGTGTTTCGTGATGAACTTTATTGCCAATTTTGTATTCAGAAGGTTTCCTATTTTTGTTTTGATTGACAAATTCCCATGATGACTATACATTATGCATGTTTCTAAGTTCCACTTGTTTCGCTTTAGTATGAATGAGCAAACGCTTTTAACTCTAAAATTGAAGTTCGGTTTGTTTTCCTTTTGGAGTGTCCCAAATTTGTCTCGAAAATTTTCTTTGTGTTTCTTTACTTAATTGGATTGGAGTCGGATGCATTGTTTCTCATTTTGTAAATTTGTTGTACATCAAGAGTATTTTTCTATGATTTTGCCGCTACGATGCGGGTGTATGAAGAAAAGTTCTGACTGGGGCGTTGCGGGTCAACGTCCGAAGTTTGAAAATAAAATCACGTAAAAAGAAAAGCTGGTGTGTCTGAATGAGTGTTGATCTTCGGGCGTGTTACATGTTTTGGGGGGTTTCTTTATATCGTAATTTATCACACAGTAAAGTTAATTGTTAAATAATACTGCTGCAAGCCAGTTGCATTTAAATGTCGTGGGCCCATAGATAATTTCGGTTGGATATAATTTTGGTTTCCTGGTGGCATCAAGGGCAGATTTTTTTTAGTGACGTCGCTATATTAAAGGCAGGCACTGCTTACACCATCTTTTCCTTAAAAAAATGGTCAAAGTGGTCAGAAATGGCCTCGGATGGCACCCCAGATCATTTAGAATCAAACAATTTTTCGGGGCCCTGGTGGGCCCCGAACCCCAATCCGTATTTTTTTTGACCCAATTTTTGGGGACCCAATTTTTCATTGTGGCCCCCCCCCCCCAAAAAAAGGATTGGTTTTCTGGATCCGCCTTTGGTCATAGACTGACTACACATATATTCTTCCTCACTTTCTCTTCCTTACTTGTTCTTAGTTTTGATTTCGAATTTATTAAAGTAGATATAACCAAATTGGTGGCGCCCTTCATGAAAAAGGACACATGGCTTGAGCGATTCCCTCGTCTGTATGCCATTCGGCGTCCTTGGTAACAGGCTTTGGATACCGTGACCGTATATCTGCAGTGTACATGCATATACATGTACGTACATGTACATTGTATAATGTAGATGGGGATGGTTTCATGAACGAAGTTATTTTCTAATTACAACAGATAAATCCCATGTTTTTGCGCCTATACGGTATTTTTGGCTATTCCCCGGCTGCAACCCCCCCCCCCCCCCCACTCACTCAAAGGACGGATCCAGGGGTGGGGCGGCAGCGGGGCCATGCCCCCCCCCCCCCCAAAAAAAAAACCCTATTATTTTTGTTGTTGTAAGTGACGTCACAATAAAGGCAGGCACTGCGTACACCACCATCTTTTCCTCAAAAAGATTTGGTTAAAGTGGTCAGAAATTGCCTCAGAACGGACCAGAGAGCATCCAGAATCCCCCCCCCCCAAAAAAAAAAATTGTATTCTGGATCCGCCCTTCCCCTACCCCCCCCCCCCCCCCCCCCCCCCGACATGCGTGCGGCAAACCTATAGATCCATCCATGTACATGTAAAGGTATTTCCATTTGCATGAGACGTTTGGCGGTTAGAACATTCCGGTACTGAGACCTCGAGATTGGCCGGATATTGTTTACCGGAAAGCGATTACACAAAAAGAACAAGTCGACTCCATTCACGATTTCCTGACGGGGATCCTTTTCTCTATCCCCCTGCCAAACCAAACGAACACCCAGGGCTATTGTAGCACCCCCCCCCCCCCTCCCAACCGTCCTTCAGACTTAATAACCTCTCATCGATCGTCCTCAAACCGATCCATACCCTCCTTTCTTCCCGTAATGTTCCCACGTGGATCAGTCACCGTGCCCCCTTTGACGTACCTGTTGTGGCTAATCCGGCTTCGCGTGTGTTGGACCGGTGCCATCTTCCCCGGACAAAAGGCGTGTTGAATAGCCGATCGAAGCCCCGCTATTGTCCAAGTCGAACGCAGGTGATGAGCACGGGTGTTTATTGTTAATAAACGGCGCACTTTTTTGCTCGTAAAAATTGCGATACATCTATACAGGTAAATTCCAACAGATGAATGAATTAAAGCAGGGACATTTGGCAAATACCAGAAAACATGCCTACCGATTTAACGAGAAAATCTTTGCTCAAAGTGTAGATAGGACTGATACCAAATACCATGTGCAATTATTCCGCCTGAAATGGTTTCATATTCGGAAGAAAACAATCATTGAAAGTAGTTGAAGAAAATGTGCCAGCGGGCACACGTGTGTTAGCAACGAAATCCAGTTAGAAATACCAGACCCCGAAAATTGTGCGTGTACGTTTTCTCTGTTTTTTTTTCCCCAAAAAATAAAGACGGAGTGCCCACGGAGCTGAAACTTCAACAGGTTATTTTGTTATGCACCCTTCTTAAGATTTTAAATAAAGGAAAAAGTAAAAATGTTCCAGTGTTCCTCTAAAGGGCACTTTTAGATTATAATTTTTTTTTTAGTTTCTTTGAGGCTATACCGGAAGTCCAAAGTTCCAACTATATGCAACGGCGGAACCAGGGGAGGGGGCAAACGGGGGCCATGCCCCCCCCCCTTTCAAACAAAACGAATCCTTTTTTTTTCTTTTCTGTTTTTTTTTTTCAAGTTTAGTAACGTCGCAAAAAAGGCAGCCATTGCGTACCCCACCCACAAAACTCAACAAAAGCAATACATTTGCACCCGCCCCTCTGCCTTTCATCGGGGCGAAACATTTTTCCGGAAAAATAATGGCCCCATCATCCCCCCCCCAAAAAAAAGAAAATAATTTGTGTCCCAGATCCAGATTTGTATGAAAATTGAAAAAAAAATTTTTAACATTGGCTCAGTTTTTCTTTATTTGAAAGGGGGAGAACTCAGTGGACCTCAAACTCCTCCCCACGATTTGAAAATGTTCGCCAATCGATCAAAAAATGACGGGTTTGGGCCTCTATATACAGTAGCCTAAGGACCCAGAAAAGTTGTTATAAGAACACTGTAGCTACTAGCCACGGCTGTATAGCCGCGGTACCTGCAAACATTTCCAAAATTTAAAACCTTCAAACCAAAGTTTAAAACTTGCAAACTTAAGTTAGACATTTTACTCTGTAAATAGAAACTTTTAACAGAATATGAACCCTTTTATAAAATGAAAACAAAAACAAACTCCTTCACGAGGTTTGAAGTAGCTTCATTCTGTGGCCCATCTTTGGGAACGTAAAGTCGAGCCCCCAAATTGATCGAAGTTTTGAGGGGGGGGGGGGGGAATCGCTACTTCATTGTCCCCGAGTTGGTAGGTGTTGTGCCAACCGCTTGCCGCCCAGCCCCAACATTACCGCGGGCGAGCACACGGATCGAACGAGAATTCAAAGACCCAAATTGACCTGTTTGCAGGCCGAGCGGACGGTAAGGATTAAAACGAAGAACAACCCTCGGCACCTGAGGATGTTTCCATGGCCTCCGGCAATTCCGTCCATCGATAATGTCTGTAGATGGATTGACATTTTGCGCGAAAACTTTTAATCCGTGTACGTTGCCTTTAAGGCCTCGTTACAGTTGCTAGACGATTTACACGACGCATGTACATTTCAAAAGGCACTTTTTTCTCCCACGGTATTTTTAAATTGCAGTGGTTTTTATTGCTTGGGACTTCCCCCTTCTCAGTCACTTCGAGACCGCTCCGATAGTTTTATTGTATTTGTTTTATTTTAATTCTTTCTGGTAATGAAACCAAGGATTCCTCAAAAGTGCCCTAGGCACTGTAGCTCGCAAGCCAAGTAACCTGTAGAGAGGAGACAATGAGAAGAAATTACAGTCTTAGAGGTGGAAGGAAAACCCCAGAAAAAAATATTCTGGGAAAATCCACGGAATCAGGTAGGGACTGAAAACCCAATCCACATTATCTGGACCAGGCGGGAATCAAACCCGGTCACAGCGGTGGAAGGCGGGGAAAGTACCGCTACGCCAACCTGACTCCCCCAACCCATGGAGGAAGGAACATTCCTTCCTCCATGCCCAACCTGACTTGCTTATTATTCACAAGTGGCAGTCAGCAGTCAGTGAGGGACTTAGAGGGCACATGCAGGGTATTGTGGTGCCTTTTTTGTTTTCATGTTATAGGCCTAAGGCCAGTTTCCATGTTCATGAGAAAAAGTGTAAAGGCCGTTCAGACAGAAACCTCAATGTTACAGCTATTTCAGCACACAAATTTGCCAGAATTTTGGATATTTTGGACCTGCGTCTTTTCTTTGGTGATTCGTGCGCCAATGAACAAACATATGGAAAAGTTTCATGGCTAAAGTCTCAAAAAATCAGTTGTGTGTCTATGTGACCTTCAGGACACGCCACGCGTGTACGTTTTTAGAAAGCTGGTCCGACGACATTGAATGCTCTATTCGAGTGAATTTTTTGAATTTCGTAGGAAAATATATAGAGATTGGAATGCCGGGCGACCCCGGTTTATATGTTTTTTCGTTTGGCGACTAAAACCATTTTTTTTCACCGGTGGACCGGATTCGGAGCGACTGCGGCTAACCCGTTTTGTGCGTAACACGGAAACACGTCCATATCGGTGTAGCAAAAGAGACTGCTTTTCCATATGTTTTCTCACAAAATCTTTTCAATGAGGAATGTGGGGTTGACAATTTGAACAGAAAACCCCTAAAGTGAACAGTGTCTTCAATTCCTGAAATGACATCGCAACAATTTACCTGGAAAAGCATGAACATTTTTTAGTGTTGAAAGAAGTGCACTTTTCAATAAGATTACCCAAAAAGGGATTTCATATAGTTTTCATTAAAGAGGAGTAGACAAGTGCACAAAATATATTCGGCAAGAAAGATTAATGACATGGGCCCTTTCATCTTAGCAGTCCATTCAAAAGGGACAGTCAATCAGTGAGGGACTTAGCAAGTCAAATTCATCAGTGAAAGTCAGTCAGTTAGGCACAAAGAGAACTGCTGGTCCCCCCGTTGGACCAGCTACAGATGTCGTAATTATTATGCAATGTCCACCGTGTCACAAATTTTGTGTTAAGTATAGTCACATGGGGGCGCTCTACAATTTTCACCGCACACTCATCCGACACTCTTTGAACAGCGGGGTACCAACGAAATTAAAGAAAATTTCTTATTTTGAAGTAGATGCAAAATGTTGATTGTTTTCAAACGGCACCATGGTTTACGTTGTTTCGTGTGATCCAACGTTTGTGCGAACAAAAATTTCCATCTTCTGTTTTACTAGAACAAAATTGCAAAATGTGGATTCGATTACCACGTCCCCCACAGACTTGAGTGCATTTATCTGCTTTGTTTATCTTCCGACACTAAATCGTTGAATCTGATGTGCGCACGTGCAGTAGTACATTTTTGTAACTCCGAAATGGCTTATTAAGCGATTTCTTTTTCAGTT